TCCTGCAGCTGAGCTGTGTTTCAAGCCAGCTGTAGCCCTCCCTCAGCTTCATCTCAGCTGATCCCTTTACCCAACCTCTCCAAACTGTAAACTGAAATGGCTAACAGGCAGGAGCACTCCTGCCTCCTGGGAGCATCTCACCCTAGGATTTTTCTCCCCCTAGACTTCTGATTGAGCTCCAGTAGCCTTTTATTAGGTCCAGGTGTTCATTAGTCAATTAGCAGTCAACCAGATCTGAAAAAGAGCTCTGTGTAAACTCAAGAGCTTGACTCTCTCTTACCCCAGTAAAAGATATCGCCTCACCCCTCTTGTCTCTAGAATAATCAGCAACCTAGGCAGTGAACTGATAGGCCAAGATGTGCTTTTTCTTCTTAAAGAAACCCCTTGCAGGCAGGCTGGGTACTGACTCTCCTTGAAGGTTATAACTGGGTATAACAATAACAACTTTATCTTTAGGACTTTTGTGAAAGAGGTCACTAGAAGCTGGGCACCTTACCATCTCAGAAGCGTTTGTAAATTCCACTCTGCCTGCATGCAACTTTAGGCAACTAAATACCATTCAAAATTTGGCTCTTGGGATGGACACCTAAGTAATTAGGTAAATAATGGAGATATAGTTTCTGCTGTAAGTTTGCTGATATTGATAGTGTGATATAATGGCCAGAGTTCTGATCTTGGAACCAGGAACTAGTGTATTTTAATCCTGGCTCTGCTGCTGACTCAGTTTCCCCAGGTGAAAAATAGAGAGACTGCAGTTTACTTTGGGGTAATATCAGCATTAGTGATGTCTATTTTAAAAAGCAAAATGCTACATGGTTATACTTTAGAGCCTTCCAAGCTTTGGCAAATAAAAGTTTGTTATGGATACAAGACAATACACAAGCTATTCACACACCCACTATATGCTCCAAACCACAGAATAAAATAATAGACTGCACAAGCTAAGCAGCAGCAAAGAGAGAGGAATAAACCAGCACAGAAAAAAAGATATTGTCAGATGTTACTGGTGAACAGTCAAAAAGCAAGGTACGGGAAAGAATGACTTTAGAACATTGAGACTGAAATACTCCTAGTCCAGAAGAAAATTAAAAACATTTTTTCCACTTTTGTTTTCTTTTTACACCTTTACTCTTTTTCCACAGAAACTGGGAGAAAACAAATTGGACAAAGAGTGTGCAGAGTTCTTGCCTTCACCATCTCTCTCCCTGACACCTTGTGATGTTGCCCATGCTAATGACACTGGGTCTTGTGATTTTGATTATTTTGTCAAAGCCCCATCTACGAATCATGCTATTATAAGAGCATCTCAATTTTCATTTACAACAAAACTACATTTCTAGCCATCATGGTGGCAGTCAAAAGGTTGAGAATGTGAACTTGAAAGGCTCAAAACCTATAAAGCAAATAAAAAGCATCCTCAAGTTTTATTAAGATCTTATATTTTTAAGTCAATCTCACAATAATCTGGGACCCAACTTGTGGTTTTTGCAGTTGGTGAGAATGCATTTGTCTGCCCTTCCAGAGACACAAAATAAAGTAAAATTTCTCTTTTACCTTCACTCCTTTAGAGATGTTCACAGTATGTGAGTGTAACCCTCACTAACATAGGAATTTTACCTGATGCTAGCTGCTTTGCTGCCAGAAGCACACTAGTCTGGGAGAAAGATTTCAAAATGGAGTATGGGATATTTATAGTTGAAGCCCCTCCCACAGGTAAAACTGAATATTGGGAGTAGGAAATGGGGATATAGATATAATATAGAAAATGACAATTGACTCATATTGATGGAATCAGTCTATTGACTATGGGGAGAGGAGAGGGGAGGGGGGGGGAGGCAGTCTACCTTCCTAGATCATATTAACAAACCCTTCTTAAAGAGGACTAGAGAGGTGAGAAAAGGCAATCTCTCAAATTAAGAGCTGTGTGATAGGACAGTCAAACTGAAGTGCTATGAGCCACTTTTTAATGTGCATGTTCACACATCTGGTATCCGTGTGATCAATTACAAAGCCAGGCAATAAACTGCCTCAGATGTCTTCTCCTCACTAACCCTTCTCAGTCAGGGATTCTTCTGACAGACAAGACCTCTGAGCAGTTCCAAATGCCTGCCATTAAAAACATTTATAAAAAGTCAAACAACATACCCCCACCGATTATGGAATCCTTTCTCTCCTTCCTTCTGCAAATGAGGCTGGCAGGAGGTGCAGAATGGGCACAGATTGGTTCTGACACAGTGGAATGAGTCCCAGAAACTTGATATCATTAAAAAGGGACTGTTAATGAAGGGGAGAGTTCTTTCCCAGTTAATTAAGCAGTGGTTCTCATCCAGAGGATGGGTATGCAGAGGTCTTCCAGGGCATACTTCAACTCATCTAGATAATTTAATAATGTTTTTTGTAACTAGGTAAAGTCAGTACAAACTAAGATTTGATACAGACAATGATTTGTTTACACAGGTCTATATACTGAACTGTAAGTAAAATATTTATATTCCAACTGATTAAGTTTATAATGAAATGGTTAAAAAAAGAAAATGGGCAATTTTTCAGTGCTAGTGGGCTGTCATTCTTTTGCATTTTTAGGTCTGATTTTGTAAGCAAATAGTTTTTAAGTGAGGTAAAACTTGGGGTACAAAAGACAAATCAGATTCTGGAAAGGAGTAAAGTAGTCTAGAAAGTTTGAGAGCCACAGAACTAAAGCACCTTGGCTTCCTGTGCAAGGCAGATGAAATCACACTAAAACTATTTAAAATGGTCTAAAACCTTAGTCTTGAAAACAGTTACGTATTTGCTTAGCATGGCACAGGAATCCTCCCGCAAACTTGAGTGGAATTAACTCTGTGCTTAAAGTTAAACAGATGTGTGTTTGCAGGGTTGGGGGCATAAACATTTCCCTGTATTCTTGTAAAGTACCTGTTACAAACAGCATGTTCTTGTATGTAACCTAGGCCTTGGTTAGGTGTGAATAATGCAGACATTCCATGTCCACACCAATAAATCCTTATTACTCACCACAGAATCATACAGTTCCTGCTATATTCTACCTGCATTGCTAAGGTTGCCCAAGAATTTAGAGTCGCTTTTAATATTTCAAAATATTCAAATTAGATTAAACTTGCCAGACACAATCTTCTTTTTAACCAAGGTGTTTTTTTAAACCAAGAACAATTCAGCCCTTTTTGAATGAGGAAGTTGGGGGAAAATATTTCCCCAGTTACACAAATAATTATTGTGGCTTTTTTTTCAGAATGTTCTCTTGCTGTAGGAGAAGTTAAAGGAAACAATCTAGGTATTAAAAAGCCTGAGGCATTTTTCTGCTCCTACAACCATCTGGGTTAGAAACTACCACAGAAACCAGGATAGTAGGTGTCAAGGGCTAGGTCTTCACTCGCAGCTTCTTGCACGAGAAATATGTAGATGAAGCTAAGCGTGGAATATCGCCGAGCCTCATTGTCATACCTAATGAGCCGCCATTTTTGCAGAGAGGCTCTTGCACCAGAAGGAGCTGTCTACACTGCCCCTTCTTGCGCAAGAAAAGCCCTCTTGAGCAATGCCATTATTCCTGAAAATAATCGGCGTAACAGCATTGTGCAAGAGGGTATTTCTTGCGCAAAAAGGGGCAGTGTAGACAGCTCCTTCTGGCGCAAGAGCCTCTTCTGCAAAACTGGCAGCTCATTAGGTATGCAAATGAGGCTCGGTGATATTCCATGCTTAGCCTCATTTGCATATTTCTTGCACAAGACACCATGAGTGTAGACATAGCCAAGGAATTCTCAACTGCTTTACCCATAGCAGTACATTTCCAGTGGGGAACTGGAAAATTTCTCTATCCCTGAATTATAAAATACTGTCCTCAGGGAGTCTTTCCAGGTTCTATTTCCCATTTAAATGCATTAAAGTTGAAATCCCATGGAGTAAAAAGAATACCTGAAAATGTTATATTTTATGATTTATTGGTTGGTCCTGCATACACTTAAATATGTGCTTGATTTTAAGCAGATGATTAGTACCGCGGGGTGAAATCCTAGTCCTACAGAAGTCAAAATTCCCATTGACTTCAACAGGGCCAGGATATCACTCATTAACTTTAATGGAACTATTCTTGTGCTTCAAGATACATATATGCGTATACATTTTCAGGTTCAGGGTGTAAATTATTACTCTAAACTCCAACATGCAACAACAAGTATCTGTAAGTGGATCATTTAAATGCATACCAACTGTTAGCACTTCAGAGATTCCTCTGGTGTATAAAGTTAGACAATGAAGATTTGCAAACAGCAGAGCTATTCTAAATAAAGACATCACAGCAAAGTATTTGATATCCTTTTGTTATCATTTACACATCAATTACATACAGCATTAAGACCAAATATACGGATTTTCATATGTATGTACATTGATCAATATAGTGCACCATTTAAATTTATGTTACAATCAAATGTACAAGTTTAAATATGGCTTTATACACTAGTAGTAATCACAAAGCTAAAATAATTCATGTCTCATGTAGGTTCACACACAAACAATCGAATGCAGTTGTAGCATTAGATTTCTCAATTAGCAATGTTTTACTTTATTATTTGGTGAACTTTGTGCAACATATAGTCAATTGTAACCTACTCCCACCCCATCTTCCACACACACACACTCGCTATTCTGTCCACAACACAGCTTAACTATGTACTATAATTATACAAATGTTGGGTCCTGTAATTCCGAAGTATCCTGAAAATAAAAACTTACACATTCTGGGAAAGATTAACCCTAACACAGATTAATCAGAATAACAAATTATAAAGAAAGGTGGAGAAACACACAAACACTGCTCTGTAAAAATATCATTATACTCAATGAAGCTATGTCTAAGTAAGGGCCAAATCCTGCTTGTTATACTCTAGTGAGCAGTTCAGTGTAAATTATTAACCGTGAGTTATTAACTGCAAATTATTAACCATGAGAGTTATTTGCCATAGAAGTAGTGTAACGGGGATATGATAGATTTTCCATCACTCAGAACCTTTGGATGAAATACAGACCTCAATGAAGCTAATGGGTAATTGCTATTTACTTCCATGAGACTAGGATTTCACTCTAAATCAAAAGTAAATTTCATTCTAAAACATATGCTCTAGTTTGACCATATATTGTTGGGCTTGATGTGGGAATTACTGGGTGAAATTCTAGGCATCTGTTATGCAAGAAAAACTAAATTATAAGAAGGTCAAACAGGATTTGGCCCTAGAGGTTCATCACTACAGATGTCCCATGAAAGATTCTTCTGCAATAAGATTCCTGTGCTGGACACACACACCTCATTTCCTTTCCTAGCACCCAAATAAAGGAACTTCAAAATCTCTGCAAATAAGGAGACTGACCACAGAAGAGGAATGAAAAGGTGGCCCTCCATGATGACTAAAGTAAAGAGTCCACAAAATTTGAGTCAGAGCTGATTAGCTTTGTACCTGTCTCTCCACTAAGGCGAAGAAATGAAGACTAGAATAAGCAGTTCCCCCCTCCCATCACACATGGGCCTCATCTTGTGAGGTACAGAGAGGTAGTGAGTACCTTCAGTGCCTACTAATTTCATGTGGAATACAGGAGGATAGGAACTCAGGACATATAGGCCTGGATGAGACCTGCTGAGCCAGTGAATACAGCCCCTGCTCTCACCGACAACTGTGTCTATCTCTGTAACTGAAGGCACAATACCTCACAACATCAGGCACACTGATAAGTCTAAAACTAAGCTCCATGTAAGACTGTCTGTACCAAAATTATTTCCAAAGGCTCCCACCAGGACTAACATGCTTTAATAAACACACCATCAATTCTCCAGAACAAACACAGATCTTTGTGAAAGGACAGGCCAATAGCCACCTTATATAATAGTTAACACCTATCAAAAGAAATATCTTCTTTGTCTATTTAGCTCTAAATAATAACTGCAATTTATGGCACTACGAAGCTACTGGAGACTATACACACTATCACTGAGTAGTCCTGTGGCACCTTAGAGATTAACAAATATAAAGTATCATGAGCTTTTGCAGGCAAAGCCCACCTCTTCAGATGTTTGCCCACAAAAGCTCATGATACTATACATATATTTTTGTTAGTCTCTAAGATGCCACAGGACTGCTCATTGTTTTTCAAGTCACAGACTAACACAACTACCCCTCTGACCCTATAACTGAGTCCTTCAAAGATCTACAAAGTCATCTTTGTCTATGAGACATTATGAATGATTAGATAGTGCTACCTTGACATTGCTCTAAACTGAAGTTATCAATGTACCTATGTGAGACTCACTGCTGTAGTATGTACATCTGTTTCCATTTCCCGGATACTGGGATATACAACATAATTTTGCATTTAATGAGTATAATTTGCTGCATACAAAGCATACCTATGAGGTACTCATGCCAAATCGATAATGTTGCACGGAAGTACAATTATTTTTCGTCTTACATTGAGAGTATCCTTAGTGTCAAAAATCAAAGGACTCAGATTATTATTTCAACATTTAAAGTCAAGAGCTACTTAAGGTTCATCTCTTTCCACAAAATTCCACTTGCTGAGCACCCTTGCTTAGACCTTTACACATAACACATTTCCCCCATCACCACCACCACCTCCAGGCAACATTTTGTAAGTTTTATTACTTGACAGATAAAATCCTTTCAATGGAAATAGCAGGAAACTGTCATGATGACTTGAGCAGACACCGGTGACAAAAGGAAATTTGTGTCTGTATCATTGTT